ATGACTAAGGTACATTATGGTGGGACAGTGGTAAAAATGTCCACTGATAAAACATTTAACCTTTCCAGTGAATGTGATAGTGCAGGTGCAGCAGATTTGAAAAGAAGGAAAGAGCCAGGAAGATGTCACTTCAGTGCATGTTGGTACTGTATTTCATTCATTTGATTTAAAAAACCATTCTAGAGCTAAAACAGTGCAGAAAATAATGTTCAGAATTGCCTTATTCTGTGGATGACATCTTACACAATTAGCAATTGTAAATATAAGGAAAAGCAGATGACTTGTATTTTTCTTCCCATTCGGATGAAAACTGGGAATTGGTGATTCTAAAGATTATATACAAACATTACAATATCATAAATCATATAAACACACTTTGACAAGTTGAAACAATGCTTTTTGCAGTATCTGCATGGAAAAGTGGCAATATTCATAAATAAGCACAAATCTCATAGTGGTTAATTAGACTATTAGAGCAGAATTTCAGCTGACATAAATACCTTGATGACCACTCTTCACACTGGCATGCTTGGAATCAAGATTATTTCCCTTTTGTTAAAGAGGAACAAACTTATACTGAAAAATCTGAGGAACCAACTATATTTCTTGCTATGTTTGTAAAACAATCTGTAGATGAATCAGGTATTTTCTGGGTAGGTTTAATCAACTGATTTTGTTAATATTGGGATCCATTTCCATACTTTATTTTTACCTCTATATGCCTCACTAGAAGATTCTCATTCAAAGGGGGCATTTACCAGCAAATAAACAACTTTTAAGCTTAACAAATGATAAGTGGAATGAGGAGTGGAATGATGTAAGCAAATATTGCATCATTATAATTCAGTTTTAGGGAAATGAAACTAGTAGGCGCTCTTAATACTATCAGTCATTATAGAGCTGCACATTGAGACGTTGAACAAGCCAGATAATGGCCAAAAGCCAAGTAAGATAATGAGCTAAGCCTGAAACTGAAAAGAAACTGTTGAACATATGAGAAACGACCATAAATGACTGAAGGGCTATGTTCCTTTAACTGATATTGCCATCAGATAAAAATAATACATTCTACTGTTTTCACATGCAGTTGCAGCAATTGCAACTGCTAGAGTGTAAATACGTTTTTGTATTGGTCAGTGAGTTCCTTCATATTGCTAGGAAATTAACAGTTGTAACCAACCAAGCAAATAAAAGACACATGACACAAGAAAACAACTATACACTAGATTCCAACTGGAAACATTAAATATATAAAAGTGTCTTCAACTTTGGCCCTTTTTTCTAAAAATTTCACAGCAAATGTAAGTATAAAAGATATAACATTATGCAAGATTTAATAAATCTGTTAAGCTGGTTCAGTGTGAAAAAGTTCTATTCACTAAGTAAAAAACCTATTTCACATGCTCCATATTTCTTATTTAGAAGCATGTGCTTGTGCAGTATATAATGCTTTTCCTAGTTTAGGCAAATGATCTTTAAGGATAATAGTGGATAGAACCTTAGATATGACTATTTTATTTTTCTAGCCATTGGCCTGTGTTGAATTTCGACTATATGGTCAGTGGCTGTGTTAGCTTGGGAATTCCAGCCCAATGCATTTGTAAAACAGCTACAATTGGTAATGATTATCCAAATTGCATAAGGCAGGCATGTATATTTCCCATTATCTATGAGCTGATTCTTTTTATATTAAAACTGATAAGATATAAAGTACAACAGATATAAAAAGTCTATATAGATAGTCCTCAGCTTACAACAACTTATTTAGTAGCCATTCAAAGTTACAGGACTGTTGCAGTATCCCCATGGTCATGTGAACACAATTCAGACACTTGACAACTGACTCATAGTTATAACAGTTGTAGTGTCCCGGGTTTATCTAAACACCTTTTGTGACCTGACAAAATCAGTGGAGAAGCCAGATTTACTTACCAACCATGTTACTAACTTAACTGCAGTGATTCACTTAACAACTGTGGCAAGAAAAGTCATAAAATGGAGCAAAAATCACTTAACTGTCTTAGCAACAGAAATTTTAGGCTTAATCGTGTTTGTAAGTTGAGGATTACCTGTACACCTCTGTTAAAATGCCAGGTTTGTGAGATGTAAAAAACAACAGACCAAGATAAATAACTTCAATTTTTTTCCACCTTTAATATAAACCATAAGCTGTTCAATTGAAAAACAAACAAATTAGAGGGAAAAATAAAATTAAAGCACCTACAATAACATGGTTGCATAAGTGTACCTTAAACTAGTATTTTACTGAAGTATCTTCTGAGTTTATGACAGCATTCAGTCTTTTGGGGTAGGAATTTGGGAATTTTGCCTACTCCTTGCAAAAGTGCTCCAATCTGTCAGATTGCTAGGACATCTCCTGTGCACACCTCTCTTCAGGTCACCCTATAGATTTTCAATTGGATTGCCTGGGCCATTCCAGAACTTTGATCATCTTCTGGGGAAGACATTCTTTTATTGATTTGGAGATATGCTTTGGGTCATTGTCATGGTGAAAGGTGAAAATCCTCTTCATCTTCAGCACTTTAGCAGAGGCCTGAAAGTTTTTGTGCCAAAATTGACTGATATTTGGAACTGTTCATAATTCCCTCCATCTTGACCAAAGCCTCCATTCCAGCTGAAGAAAAGCAGCCCCAAAGCATAATGCTGCCACCATCATTCTTCACTGCGGGTACAGGGTTCAGAAACACACTGATGCGCAGTGTTGTTTTTACACCATACGTTTTGCAATTATGGCCAAAAAGTTCAACCTTGATCTCATCAGGACCATAAAATCTTTTCCCACATGCTTTTGTCAGACTTGATAATAGGTTTTTGTAAATTTAGCCGGGCTTGGATGTTTTTTCTTTAAAGAAAAGGCTTGCCACCCTACCCCACAGCCCAGACATATGAAGAATATGGAAGATGGTTGTCACATCTAGTACACCATCAGTACTTTCCAGAAATTTCTGCAGCTCCTTTAATGTTAGATTAGCAGGAGCTAGGGTGAGGACGGGGACTCACCCTGTCGTGTGGAGCTCAGGTCTTGAAATAGGTACCATTTCGGTGGGAAGATAAGAGCATTCTGTGATGCCATGTTGGCCACATGACCTTGGAAATGTCTTCGGAGATCTCTGACTCAATGGCCTTAAAATGAAGATGAGTACTGTCCTCTATAGCCGACTGACGACTAATGGAACAAAATCCACAGGGACACCTTTTTAACCTTCATTGTTGCCGTAGATCTCTTGGCAGCCTCTTGGACCAGTTTCCTTGTTCATCAAGTTTAGAAGGGACATCCAGTTCTTAGTAATGTCACTGCTGTGCCATATTTTCTCTACTTGCAGATGACTGTCATCACTGAAGTTCCATGGTATATCCAATGCCTGGAAAAAATGTTTGTACCTTTCTGACTGATACCTTCCAATAAGATGCTTTGTAATCTCTGTGGAGATCATGGCTTTTGCTGTAAGAGGCAGAGTAGATGTAAAGAAAAAAATAATCTGACTAGAACAGGTGAACTTTATATGGGCTTGATCAGAGTCTAATTGATAGCAGGTATGTACAAGTGTGTATCGCCAACCTGTAAATGACTAACATCACGTCGAATGTTATTGGTTAATTCTGAACACTGACGTAGCCCTATTTCTGAAAAGATGTGCACACTTATGCAACCATTTTATTGTAAGTATTTTATTTTTATTTTCTCCCCCAAAAGACTTAGAATTGTTTTTCAGTTGTGCAGCTTATAAGTTGTATTAAAAGTGGAAAAATTCTGAAGTAATTTTTCCTAGTCTGATTTTTTTTTACATCTCAAAAACCTGGCATTTCAACCAGGGAAGTGTAGGCTTTTTATATTCACTGTATATATCTCTATAGAGATATATGCCTTAGACACCCACCCCCAATTTCTGTCTCGCCTCAAACACATTAGGAAGTGATATAAGTTACATGCACATATATGTAACAAACCACAATGATTTTTGGATCTGAACAAATGCAATCCTATTATATAAACTTTTTAACATGTAAGATAGGCACATTCATATAATAATTCAAAGGTTTTCTTTCTACTTTTGGGTAAGTATTCCTTGTTGGACACAAAGCCAATTGCGTTTTCTAATTCTGGTAGCTATTGATACACCTAACTTCCTCCAGTTTCACATTTTAAAGAGATATTGGGAGTACTGCAGCCATAAATTTCCCAATATGGGGCCTTGTGGATATTGGACTGTAAGTCCCACCTATTAGTTGAAAACTCATAATCTGACATTTCTAGAAAACATTATTTGGAAAAGGTTGGAGTAAGATCAAAGGAGTGAAAATGACTTTCCGTTCTCAAACCTTTCTCTTAGATACAGTAAAAGCCTCAATGTACACGTATTCCTCGACTTACAACAATTTGTTTAGTGACCATTCAAAGTTACAGCAGCATTGGAAAAGGGACTTATGATCATTTCTCACATACAGTTGCAGCATCCCCATGGTCACATGATCAAAATTCAGAACTGGCATGGCAACTGACATGTATTTATGACGGTTGCAGTACCCCAAGGTGATCAGCTCTTGTGACTGTCTAACAAGCAGAGTCAATGGGAAAGGCAGATTCACTTAACAGCCCTGTTACTAACTTAACAACTGCATTGATTCACTTAACAACTGTGGTGAGAAAGGCCGTAAAATGGGGCAAAACTCACTTAACAACTGTCTTGCTTATCGACAAATTTTTGGCTCAATTGTGGCTGTAATCTGAGGCCTGCCTGTATTAAATATGAAGAATTACAAAACTTGCTTCCTTATTTGGTCTGATATGATAAAGAGGAAGTTTTTTTCTTTTTCGCAAAAATGAGCTCTTGTTTTAATTCTCAGAATCTAGTTTTATTTGCCCTCTAAAAAAAGGGGTTGATACGTTCTTTTTAGTTTGTTTGCTTATTTTTAAATGAGTGATAATCTGCTAATGTGAACAAACTGATAGTTAGCATTTTATCCTGCTATTTCTCCAGGAACTCCAGGCAACTTACATGAAGATAGCTCTTCATTTTATCCCTGCCACGTTCCTGTGAGGTAGGTTGGCCTGAGAAAGAGTGAGACCATGCGAGTTTCTACATATAGCTGATGTTATACTTAAACTTGCATCTCCCCTGTTCCTCTATTTTGGAATATTGATCAAGCAGCTGTCAAGGTACGAGAAGGGATTATCTAATTTAACATTTCCATTTGCTTTGGATAATAACTGCAATAATTTTCAGACTCGAACACAATTTGCTAAATGAAACAACAATTCGTTTTGACCATGACTCTTTGGTGATTGCAGGAATCAAAGCATCCATAACAAATAGCTGAGCAGCTTTTATTTGACCACATGCAACGATACAGCAATATATAGTCACAGCATAGCTCATAGCCGTCCAGAATATCCAGAATATTTTTGAAAGACACCTTGTAGCCACAATCCCATAATTAGTTTATTGTTGAAAATTTATAACTTCTACAAGATCAAGCTTTGGAGAATTGCAGAATTTTGTCTGCTGATATAGTGGATTCAACTTTCGTGTCTCCATTTTTGGGCTAAAGGTTCCAAGAATAATGAAATGGATGAAACAAGGAAACATATACCAGCCAAAATGAAGGAACATGCATACGTCTGTGTGTAATCATACAGCCAACCTGTAAGTAAGAGGAACAGCAGGATTTGGTTATTAAATCATTCTCATTTAGTGTAGTTGTCTTTTCATATCATTACTAAAGCAACACTTTTAAAAACCACGTAGGTACCTCAACAATACTGCATTTGCATCATTTAACCTAAGTGGCAATAAAGATTATGTTTTATATATTAACCTACCTTAATTGGTTTAAATTGCAGGAGCTGATGTCTTATTCCAAGGTAAATATATTTCATTCCTTTAATTTTCTTCATGGCATGTTTATTAAATAATTATCTGTTTCAGTTTTTCTTTCACCAGTCAATTTTTCTGCTTGCTCAGTCTCTCTGTATTTTAGGATCTTCTACTGAACCCCACATTTGACAGCAAAGAAGGGATGGAGGCTTTTTGCAGTAGTATTGAGCTATGGAGTACTTGAGTGGTGCAGAAGATACTGTCTTGTGTTCAGACTAAACATTCCTATACACCCACATATAAGGATATTTTTAATTTTGGTGAATTTTATGTAATGTATATAGAATGAATTCTGGTTATACTCTTTGTTACGTTGCCTCACAGACTTTTAAGTATTAATAATTTCGAAAATGGGCAAAACACATCTTTTGAAAAAGCATATAAATTCATAGAAGTAATGTACTATTATCCCACCCCTAACATTTATAGAACCAAGTGATCTCTTATTTGGTGAGATCCCATTGGTGTTCGCATGGTTACTTGGGAATAAATCCCCACGATCCCATAGCAATTACGTTGTGGAGGATTTTCTTGTTCTGGCAAACTATTAAAATTTACCACCAGAGGGCTTGTTCCCACATTGAAATAATATGGCTCATATTTAAAGCACTCTGGAGTAGATCCTGCCTGAAAACCTATTGATTCACAATTATGTGGTACTTCTATGTATTACATATATGAATTGGATTACTAGGGGATCATAAGATTTTTGCCAGTCTAGTTCTCTTCATTAAAATAACGGTCATATTGATGCTTCCTGTATGCAGAAAATAGTCCCCCCCTCTCATAATTACTCCAATTCTCATACACAACAGTATCTGAACAAATTATTTTTATCCCTCAAGGCTTAATACCTGCTTTTCATAAAAACGTAGATTCAAACTTGAATTTGGCTATAAATGTAACCTTCTGTTTGTTAGCTTGGCTATTTTGTGCCAAAAACTATGATTTTTTTTTTAATTTAAATCTACAGCAGATAACTTGCACTGAATGAGCTCAAATATTAGAAATGAAAGAATTTGCCCATTTACTGAATATACATATGAAATTCTGACCCTATTTTTTTGAAGTCTCAGTGCCTTAACATGGTGTATATGGACACGTTCGTATTTCTGATTATTTCACTTACTCTTTTCTGTTGGTTTTAGGGCTATGAAATACCTTCTGAAATGTCTCCAGATTATACCAAATGATGTTACCTACAGAATTATTTAAAAAGAAGTACTTGCCATTTTGTTTTCAACTCTTTTCCTATTAAATCCAGTGTTCATGTTTAACTTCCAATGCGTATTATAATGAAATGTTTACCTCGGGTGAAAATCTTTGCAGTTAAGCCTCTACTGCTTTAAGAATATAGGTTTTGTTGGGCTCAAAGTATATAACCACGTAGTTTAATTGCTCATTTATTTTTTAAAAGTTCTTCTGCTTTAGGTTTCATTATCTTGAATCACTGAATCCACATCCAGTGTATACTATTAATCCCTCTTAGGTAGATAGGATGTATGGATACAATTGCAATATAAAACACATAAAAACTTTACAATGATTGTCTTCTGGAAATGAATCCTGTCTCACTAGTACTTCTCAGTATCCACTTTGACAACTTGACCATACTCCAGAAAACAAGACGGCTTTGGTGTTACCATTTTTATTGCTAGCTGACAAGGAAGGACTAATAAACAGATTTAAATATTAACACTCACAATAATTTACTAGAAGTTTTTCAAGAACTCTAAATTATGTTGTCATGTAGTTATTAATGTGTTAATTTTAAAACCTCTTACATTTTTTCTATTTGGCACAGCTCTTCAGAGGCAGTCCCTGCCCCATTCCCTAGAATATGCTTCAGGTGTGGGTCTCACATTAACATCTTTCACAGTGAAGACTGATGCAAAGATCCCAGGTAGAACCTCTCCAATTTCTCTGTCCTCTTTCTGCATTTGTATTACAAAGGTATTAAGTGTCTCTGGTTCATTTCCTATCTGTGGTCAATTCAATAAACATTCTTTCCTCATCTGACATTGGTTTTATCAAAACTTGCATCCTTATTTTCCTCATGGGTGCTAAAAAAAATATTAACAATTGTTGTTTCCCTTAGATTGTTAAATTGCTTTGAGCTTCTATTATAATAGCTTTAAATAATCCTATTAATTAATTTCTTTACCACATAGGTCATATCATCTCAAATTAAATTTGAGAATTTCACAGCCTTTTACAATTGAATAATCTTTATGGCTTAAATACCTTAAAGATTGAAAAAATATTATCCTTAACCTACAAACATAGAAGCTAAAATCTATCTGGGTACTTTCAACTCTTTTTTCATAATTTCAGGGACGCATCTGTTTGGCTGGCAGATATTTAAGATATAGATTTTGGCTGTTGTGTATGCCCATAAGGATTTTTTTCTTAGGAACAAAGCTACTCATTTAGACCTTCAGGGAGGTAACTTGTAATAGTAGAAAGGAAAAATGCTCTGATATCTATTAACAAAAGTTTAAAAGGAAATTATAATGTAAAAAAAGATAACTTTAGTACAAGCAGGAATTGAGCAGTGAAGAAATAAGGAAGGTAATGGTTTCTTGTCTGTAGTAATTGTGGGTGATAAATTCTATTATTCTTTACACAGCACTGTCAACATACCTGGCATTTTATGAACAGAAAGAAATCTCTGCTCTTTATTAGAAATAGATTTAAGGGTGATGAAATGAGGAAAAGAATAGATGAATATTTAAACATGAAATGTAACACTAAGTACTACATTGCCGAATTGTACACAGGTACTTTTATTTTTCCTTTCTTTACACTTTTGATAGGATTTTTCCTAAATGTAAAAGCATATATAAATCACATTATAGTTTGTATTTTGAAAGAAAAATACAGTGCACTATATGGTCAGAAGAATTATTTTTTCAAGGAAAGAAAATGACAATTGTGTTACCTGCTATAGGAGGTCCAACAATAACTCCAAACCCAGAAATGAATGAGGCAAGTCCCAAGGCACTGTGAAATCTGGCTGCACCTACAAGATCTACCTGTTAAACAAACCAATATTTATTAGTTCTTGTTTCTGTTATAGTGATTAAAAATGATCACATAATGTTACCTGCTTCTATTTGTGATCACTAAGCTCTTAGTAACAAATTTGTGCCACAACTGGTGGGGCAGGTATGTGACATATTTGGACAGAGTTTAGTGAGGCCTTGCTCTACTTGTAAAAATAGTCACCTGTATTATGAAAATACATAGAAGAGAAAAATACATTGAAAATATATTCTGATTAAATAACTAATATATTTAAATTAAAGATAAGGAGAAAAAAGCCCCCAAGGATCCATATAAATACATACATAAGTATATAAAAATAATTCAGTCATTAAATTTAACATTAACTCTGATTATATAGCAACAAAATATGTCATCTCGTTTTTAGAGCATAGACTTTCCAAAAGTAGATTCAATGCCTGTCTTTTCATTCCTTAAAATCGCAAGAGTGCCTTTCCACCTATTTAAGATTATATTTTGTTGTATTCTAAGTTTTGATAAAGTCATTTTTATATTGCTATAGATACCTTTGTTATAATTTAATAAAATTATAACACAGCTATAACAGAGTAAAATCAAATAATATGAGTTAAAGAACTTAAAATTTCTTAAATTGCCAACATTAAAAGACAAAAAAGTCTTATCTTTTGTTAAACATTCATGCACACCCATTTTAATAATGTATAAAGATGAACTGTTGGTTTTAGCTTATGAACAGAATCTCTTAAAGAAGCTAAAATTTCAGATGTCTTGGAGGCTGCCAAAGCATCCTGCTGATACTGATAATACAGATTTCAGTTTTACATAGTACAAAGTATATGTTGAATGCAAATTGAACTCAAAAGACAATATCTCAAAATTTTTTAAATAGCCACTAAAATTCAACAAAAAATTAAAATATTAATTCCTGTTAGCCCAACTATTCCAAAACAACTTCCTCTCTATGAATTTCAGATTTGAACTATACCACAATGTCAATGTGTTATGTGATTTGGGATCACATTGTAGCTCCTTGTCTATTAATAGCCAAATATACCCAGATGCTTTCAAAGCAGGAAATGGAAGTCCCTGACATCTGACTACATTTCACAGGTATTACATCTTTGCTTTTTTGTTTTAAAATATAATAAGTCTCATTCCACAAAAAATAGATGGAAGATAAAAGGTCAATGACATAAATGTTTTAAAATACATTTATCAAATTTATATAGTCATTCCATCTCTTTGAGTCTAGGCCAGTGGTGGCAACCCTTTTTGGGCTCCTGTGCCAAAAATTGTGCACACGTTTGCATGCTCGCGCTCGTGTTCCAGCACCCAGAAGGCAATGCACGCACCCCTATGCCCCCTACACATGCGCGCGCAATCTCACTCCCCACACACTGCCACTCCCTTACCTGCACTGTGCCTCACAGATGATTTTCGGCTGGCTTGAGGCCTTTTTCAGCCTCCCAAAGGCTTGAGGAAGGCTTCTGCAGGCTTTGCAGGCCAAAAACTAGGCCCATTTCGTCACTTCTGGTATTTCCGGAAAAACAGGAAGTGACGAAACGGGCCTAGTTTTCGGGCTGCAAAGCCTGCAGAAGCCTTCCTCAAGCCTCTGGGAAGCCGAAAATCAGCTGTGAAGCACGCACATGCGCAGTGAGGTAAGTTTGCCTGCAGCTCGCATGCTGGCACAAGTGGCTCTGTGTGCCACCTGTGGTATGCGTGCCATAGGTTCACCATCATGGCTCTAGGCACTGTTGAAAATCAAGTAGGTTAAGTTGTCCAAATATATTTTAGGAGGTTTAGCTTTCCATAAGCATTTCTCATTAATATATGAACTATTTATTGAAAATGTGCATTGTTTTCAGTTTCAGTGCACTAATACGAGATATGGTGAGTGGGTTGAAGAGGATTACAATCCAGGAAACTCAGGTTAGGAGGATGCAAATATGGTAAATGAATAATTAGTTTGAAGAAATAGCAATAGCATACCTTCAGTCTGGAGCTGCTTTCTTTTTAAAACCTAATAGTTAAGTTAAATATGTAATTTTAAAAACAGCATTTTTTTTGAGTCAGAGTTAACTCCTGGCAAGTGCCTGAAGTAGTGCCTACACTTTTCTTGGCAAGATTTCAGAAATGGCTGGCCATTACCATCTTCCTCGGCAGACTAGTTCCCAGCAGGACTAGAACTCACAATCTGCTTTCTAGCCTGGCACCTTAACCCTTCCACCAAAGTAGCAGTAACCTAATAAAAATATTGGCCCTAAGATAGTGCAGATCATCGTCTATAGAGATTCTCAATCATCCAGGTCACATTTGTCCCAAAGGTGCTTTTCCAAAAAACAGCTATCTTGGGGGAGTGGGGTGTTTTCTTGAAAATGTTTCACTTCTCATTCAAGAAACTTCTTCAGTTCTGACTTAAAACTGAAGAAGCTTCTTACATAGGAAGCAAAATGTTTTCAAGGTTAAAAAAACCCAAGAAAGGGCAGATCAGTGCTTAACTAATAATAAATTAATATCAGTAAAATGTATTTTTGATGTTTCTATGCAGTTCTTTCTCTGCCTCCTAAATTCATGTTTCTGACTGGCCCTGAAACATGCAATTCTCCAGTTCTCTAGCATTGTCTGAATTGAAGCAAATGTCATCATTTGGAAATGTAAAGTGCTACTGTTCTAATATTTTCATTGTTCAATTACGTTTTTCCACTTACCAGCACAGGAATCAGCAGTGCAAGATATCCACCACTGAAAATGGCAAAAATTACAGAGTAACTCATAAGTAATGGAAAGGTTGTAGCCAGAGGACACAGCAGATTAGTGAGCCCACAAAGAATGAGGTATGTTTTATGGTAATGGTATGTCTTAGTCCACTTTTGATTAGCAATCCAGCCAGAGACTAGTAAACTGACTGTCTCTACTATCCCTAAAAGAAAACAGAACAAAAACACATAATGATTTCTAAAACAGAATTCTTTGGGTGCTAAATAAGGATCAAAATGAAGGAACTGGCACTTTGTAAATTTCTAAAACCTATGTCATCAATATAGCACCTGTGGACATAAATATACCTAGCCATAGTATCTATGTCCTAGTATCAGATTTTGTGCCCTCTCTAATTTTATTTTGTATTATTTTAATTAAAACATTAATAAACAGGGGGGAAAAACATGCTGCAAAACACTGCAAGGGGCCATATGGTAAATATTTATAAAGTGGTTTATAAACTGTCAAGTCTGAGGGTAACCAGATTGTGCTAATTCACATGAAACAAAAATAACCCGCAAAATGGGAAAAATAAAAATAATCACTCTGGCAATTTAGAATACCCTCTTCTATACTACTTACAGACTTGCTGGTAGATGCCCCTACTGCTTGGCTGTGGCCTCATTTGTCAGATTTCTTATCCGGGTGGTAAGTGTTCCCATCCATTCATATTTTCAATTCAATTTCATTCTCAAGATTCAACACCAAATTCCTGGCATCTCTCATTCTCCCACATGTTTCAAAAATTGCCCAGTATGTTATGGTAAATTCCTGGATGCTACAATGAAGCATCTTTTCATTATTATTAGACTGTTCTTCTCCCCCTTCCCCCCCTCTTCAGCTCCACATTCAATTGACTGAAGCCCAGTACATTTAATTATATGAATGTTCAATACTACACTTTTGCTTTATTTTTGTTAGGCATATAAAGTTTTATTTCCATCTGATGCATTCATATCTGAGAATTCTGAACATTCCTTGTATGATTAAACTGTATAGTTATTCACAGGCTCCGGCCAATAATTTTATGGCAAAATGCGTTGCTAAATGAAATTGGAGTTTAGAATCTGGAGTAATAACTCCTAACTTTCTCCATCCCCCAAATTGCCCTTTGTTAAGTTCTCTTGCTACATAAGCTGCTTGATTTTGCCTCAAAAATATCCATCATTAGGTGTAAAGTGGATTTGGCTCTGACACCTCAGTTTCTTAACCCCTATTCCGCATCAGTGTTTTCAAGCAAAATTTAAAGGATTGGTTTAAATTGAAAATGAATAATAAAGTCATTTTAACTATTGGTTTATCTTTTAAGAAAAATATGTAATAAAGATGGAGTTTTGTACTGAGATTTTTTTTAATGCTAATAAAATTTAAGAACATATTTTGTTGTTAAGGTGGATTTCCAAAACTTTACATAATTACAGAAGCACACCTTTGAATAAAATGTCTTGGAAGTTAAGCATAACCACATTTCATAAAGCTATATATTAAATATTTTTCCAGTGTTACATTGTAATTTCTTTTTCACTTCAGTATTTGTCTAATAATTGAGTTTAAATTTTGAATTTGAATCAACACACATGCCTTGATTTCTTTTGAGTTGACTTTTAAACTATAAACAATTATACATTTTGATGTGCTCCATATGTAATTAGTGATTACATAATTAATATCATGATTTGCATGGCTAAGCAATGGTGACATTTTACAAGAAACATTTTAAAAGTTGGAGATTTTTCTTACCAGCTACTAATATGATGTAAGCAGTATCCATTGGATCAATACCCAATGTTTTGGCTCTGGCTGCAAGGTGGAAAGTTGGGATAAAATAGGCAAGCTGACTGAAGAGAAAAGACCACGTGAAAATAAGGAAGAAGGGATTTTTCAGGTGAGAGACAACAAGATGGCATTGCTTCTGGATAAAAGACTGCACCCTGGATTTTCCTTCATTTGATCGGATGCAAATTTGATCACCAGTTTGGTTATCATTCTTATAGGCATCCACACAAGTGTTTTTCTGTGGCATTCCAGAAAACTTGTAGATAATTGAGACTAAATTATTAGACTGTTGCAGGTTGTCTGATTTAGCACATTCTTGATTGGGAAGATCCAGTATGTTCAATTCTCTGGTGCAGGTTTTATCTAGGCTGCCTTTGAAAGCTTCAGGAAACATACTTAGTACAACCATTTGGCCTTTACTTTTAGGACCTATGTCTCTAGTTTTTTTCTTATGAACTGGCCGTAGTAACAGGCTAGAAGGTACAAGGTTCAACATGATGCCGCCATATATCAATAAGAAACCTGAATGAATGGGAAAAGATAATATTTTTAAAACATATTTTTTAAAAAATCATTACAGTCACAGAACTAATTAGCATATGGATAAATATCCCTTATACTGAACTTTTCAGGGCTATTTATTTTGGTAATTTTCAAGCAGTATCCAACAATCTCCTTATTCCCTATGCTGTATGGAATCTACTTTCAGCACTGCTTGAAATTATGTCAAAGCTTTTATTCTTGAAAGAAAAGGATAAAGATGAACACCATTAGTAGTAGATATGGTAAATATCCCTTAAGTAAATAACAATATTAATAATAATGCATTTGACAATTCTCAGAGATTGTCCATCTTACCAAGATGCCCACCCCCCCGTAACACTGATGAACACCCTAGGCCAGTATTAATTTTTATATTTATACTAAGTGAAATTTAAAAGAAAAGAAAAAAAAAGTTTTCTAGCTATTTAAAATCAACCTCTGTTTAATCTCTAAAATGTTATTTTGTTATTCTGAGGTGACACATGAATAGAAATAATGTGGTTTCTATAACTCTTTATAAAACTGTCCTGTCAGAAAATCACGGCAATTAAAATAGAAAATCTAAAGCACAATGTATCTTTCTTTTTGTATCAAAAGTAAGTATGCTTAAAGCAGATTTCTCACTTCATTTACATCACTGAGGAAACTGAATGACTGAAAGAGAATGAAAATTCAGTTATTATTTGACTGTAATGTTAAGTTTAACATCAACTTACTTTCACATATTAACAGTGTGAAGATATAAGAAATGAAGATGACTAACCTTGCCAACTGTACATGTCTATCAGGAATTGAACAAGTGGTGTTAGCACAACACTCAGCCCCATTCCCGAGCGGCCAATTGCATTGGCTAAAGCCAGATATCTCCTGAAGTACTTAACTGTCATGACGGCAGCTATCTGATATAACAGACAAAAACCCAACCCTAAAGAAAGAAAACTTCATGAGCAGGAGCAGAATCCTCTACACATTCTGTAGGAATGTGTTTTTATTTCATTTAATTAAACAAATAATGAATTGCACAAATATGCAATGCTTCCAGGTGGACAGTTCTTAACTGAAGCAATTGTGTTTTAAACTTTACTTCCCCTCCCCCCCAATAACAAGATAATTATTTCAAATGATGTTGTTGGAAACAAAAGAAAAAAAAAGATTGGATTGTTGACAGGTAGTGTTGCATACTAGAATTTTAATAGCCATAGACAGATCTCTAGTCTGAGGTTTGGTAAATTTATTTTGAATACAATAATCCTTAATTTGAAATGATGTCACCTAACATAGGAGTTATTCAGTTGAAGTAGTACACATTTAGGGACCATAATTCTGTGATATGATGTTACTATGTCAACGACTTAATCTTCTCTAGAATAAAATACATACAACATACATGGAAATCTTAAAACCCTGGATAATCCTTGTCTTATCAGAATCAACATCATGCCATCATGCTATATATAATATTGCAATGTGGTTAAATATCTGACTAGCTTCTTAATATGAAGTGATATAAAGGTAAGAATATATTTCTAACAATAGCAATATAACAAAAGCTTTTGTGGTATTTTATTTTTGTATCTGTCTCCAATACAAGCATTCAATTTAACCAAGATCTCTTAAAGTTTTAAAAACAATGTAAAGAAGTATGCTTGAGCACTCTCTGGCCTTGCCTCAGTTAAGCAGTTATTCATGCCCCTCAAAAGATGATGCAGGAAGGAACAAATTAAATATCATGCTTTTAAATATTCCCTAATTGCTTAAGGACAGAACACCAATTTAAAATAGTTGTAGTAGCATTCCATTTAACCGCCTCAATTTAGCAGCCTGGACTTAATGCACTTTTGGATCCAATTATTGTCCAAAATTCAGGCAGAAACAAGATTAAGGATGATGTGAATAGTCAACACAGTTGGCTGGCAGCAGCATCTGACATTTCTTTCTATCCTGAAGTAGTGGAAAGTTTCTGGAGGGGCTTATTGAATATACTTGACATGGTTCACTTACCTGTTAGGAGTCCCATAGAGACCCAAAGAAAAGGAATGCTTGTGGCCAGTGTGCTGATAAGAAAACCAGCACCAACCAGGAGAGCCCCTAACAAGGAAGTTTTCCGTTCTCCTAGCACTTCACACACTGTAGTTACCAGAGGTGCTGGAACAGAGCAGGTGGAAATTGGCATTAATGATAGCTCGAGAAATACTGCAGATACCACTTCTGGAACGGAAAACACTGAGGGGAAAATATTTAAGCTTTAAGGAATTATCAAACTACCTATTTTTGTTTATTAAACCTACAATGGTTTTCATAAAGATTTTGATTTATGAAAACTACAGATGAGAACTCTAATGTGTGAGTTATAGTCAATAAGCAAGATTGGCAAATGACTAAAACCAGATGGGAGAATAGTTTTAACTTACAGATATAGGTAGGGAGGTATTTTTAGAAGCACATTTGGCATTCTGAGTAAGAGTACCACCTCCCCACAGCTCTGGGCCTAAACTTGGCAAATTGGACACCAATCATGAACTGACCTTACACTGGCATAATCCCAGCACAGTCCAGTCAAATGCATTTAGGTATGTATTTAAAGAGACAGTACATTACACTAACCTGCTAGGAATCGAAGTGAGGACATAATGGAACCAATCCAGCTGACGTGTTCAGAAGAGCCACCAATGTCTTCTTGAAAAGCCACAAAGAAAATGGCAAAGTTTTTCAGTGTTCCAATTACAAATACATTTACCTACAAAAATAATCAGTATCATATTAATTGAAATGTAAAATGGAGTATTAATTGGCACTCCAATGCAAAACTCTGCAGTGTTCTTCTTAAATGACCAGAGGATGAAACTAGGTATCACACTGGCAGATGCAACAAAGTCCAGCTAGTATCTGAACTGAGAAAAAAAAAATAAGGGAAGAGGAAGACCTTTGCTGAAAGCCTGTGTTTTTATCATGAATATTTTGAAACCTGTTGTGTTTACTAAAATAATGATGATACGAAGTATTTTTTAAAACATAAATTTTATGTCTTGGATTACTTTGCCTGAGCTATGATCTGTCAGCCTAAATAACATTACAGAATTTTGTGATGGTGAACAGAAGGGAGGAAACTGCAAAGTTTTCATACAAAAATGTGATAAAAATCAGGCTGAGTAGTCCCGGTTTGGCCAAGATCACCAGAAGAGATGAATTTGGATATAATGAGAACTCAGAGCTGATTTCAAAAATGGAATGCCCTTAGAACTTAAGTTAAAAAGGAAAAATATACCTGGAAGAAGCATTGGATACAAATTATAACATTATAAGAAGTCCTTGATTAACAACTGTTTGCAGTTGTGATGGTGATGAAAAAATAACTGCAACCAAATCCACACATTTACAACCTTCCCAAGTCTGTAAAATCAAAGGAAATGTGAAGTAAATCATAAGCACAGTAGCAATTTCACCTAGTGATCAAGGACTGTCCCAACTGTCACTAAACGAGGACTACCTGTATGGGCAATTCCTGCTTTATGCCAGAGTTCTGTTGGAGAAACGGTTATATAGACTAGTTTTTGCACACCTAAAATCATTGCACAACCAGGGGTGGGATTCAACCGGCGTTACTACCGGTTCAGTGATTATGTTTTGCATAACTTATATACCACTCCATAGTGCTTTGCAGCTCTAAGCGGTTTACAGAATCAGCTTATTATTTTAATTCATAAGAATCTTATTCAAAATTCTTCAGTGAGGTTTTTCTTTTCTTCAGAAGCTGTTTGAAAGTTCAAATAACGTCGTCAACTGAACCACCTCTGTCTATATCCTGTCTACACACATTGGAATAATGCCCTCTCTCTTGTGCCTCAGTTTCTCTTTCCAGGCATGGCAGACAACAAATGAGATGGGATGAGTGTTTAGTTTGCTACGGAATTGACCCAGTGTCAGTGTTGCTGGTGATGGACCCACAATAGGGCAGAACATTTTTCAATCCCATTTCTAAAAAGAGAAAGGGACGTGGCTTAGGCACTCGGCTGACAATGGCAAAGCTGGGCCCGATTGTCCCCATAGGATAAGGTTGGCCATTAAAAAATATCCTTAGAAACATGATTGTGATTGAAGAAAGAACTGTGGTGAGTTTTTCTGGCTTTCACTTTACAATAAAATCAACCTCCAACTCAACTAACCCATCAAACCTGTACAGCCTATACTTTTCTTGGCATTGTCTACAGTTATGTGCTTCTAGTAAAATTCTAACCAGCAACATTTCCCTTGCTGCAAAAACCCACATTACAGTGACACAGAATGCAGACTACGCAGTGGTAATTTCCATTCTTTTAGAAATTATTTTGAATTAAATTATTATTTAATTCAGAATTATTTAGAATTATTTAGTTTCGACATTTGGATGATTTGCTTGCTGATCAATCCATTGTATCAAGAATGCCATTGGGTTGGTGCTATAATGCCATTCTCTCTTTGCCTTCAGTTCGTATCTCTCTCTGCCCTTCCCCACACTTTTCTCTCTCAGACTTTCACAACTTTCTGCTTTTTCTTTCTGTTTCTCCTATATATCACACAAAATATTTGGGCTTTTTGACAAAGCCCTTCGGCAGCCATCAATATTGTGGATCCCAGTATCCTTTTGAATCCCCCGTGAAAGCTTGGAATTGGCATTCCTTTAGGACAGTTCTCCTTTGCAATTGGATGAATCTGGTTGGTAGTAACAACGGGGTATCATGTGCCACAGATCACAGACCCAAAGGTATCCTCCCCCCTGTACTGCTTGCATCTACATAAAGTGTTTGGGAAAGGTCATCACTTAGTTCAAAGTGAGAGATGAGGTATTCAGTATGTTGGTAATGCTGATACCTAATTGTATATCTCCTCCTTCGGCCAAATGGGAGATGGTCTAATCCAATGCTTGCAGGTAGGGTGAAACTCATGCAAGGGGTGAGTGCCTATTTATTCAGAGGCCTAGTGATGTCAGGATAATACCATCTTTGATTCTTGAAATTGTACTCCTTCAAAGAAAACAGACTCATAATATTAGGGTTCTCCTGATTTAGAATTCCTGGTAAAATAATAGATGGCAGCCATGACTTGGAAATTTGCTCAGCTCTGGTTAAACTGCTAATTGTAGCCCTACGTGCAAGGATGCACTGAGGACACTTGCTCACACTCTTGTCATCTCGTTTACTGTAATTCACACTATATAGCACAGTACTATTTCCCTTTCTATAGGGAACTGTAACACACAACCAAAAGCAAACTTATGTCAGAGTCAACCAGATGTTAATTTTTTTACACCAAGAATAGAAAACCACCAGTTTTACAGATATTACTTTCAGCATGATCTGGAGAGGGATACCTGATTGGTATAACACATTCATTACCAAAAGTCAATTGTAACTTCTATAATATCTATCACTTCTATTTATTACCAAATAACTTATTATTTGGTAATAAGCAGCACAAGCTGCTTATTACCAAAGATAGCAGGAATTTCATGGATTCACATGTCAGTCTATGCCATTATTTACTCAATCATAGTTTGTTCCATAAGCCAAAATGACTGGCTAAATGCTAAAACCAAACAAAATAATAGCTAAGCACAGCACATGATTTCAATTAATAGATCTCCAATTAAATTCATAGTACTAACTCTAAAGAAACCAGCTCTAGAAAGATGCTAGTGTATGGATCTTGTACTACAATTTGTATTTTTATGTTTTCCATTCTGTTAAGAAATCCGCAAATGTTTGTTAAGTTCTTACCAAAGGGGCAACAATTCTTACCCATTCCTTAAGTTCTTTATATAGTTTTAGATTTTGGCCAGAACATGTTACAGGCCATTTAATCTGAGAAAAACCTCTCCTTCTTTCTTCAATATTTTAAAAATTCAACACACGTGATTAAAACCAAGTGCCTTTTGTATTTGTCATGACTTTTAAACAACATCAAACCACACTCTACATAGTACCAGTAACTTATCTGTTTCTTACTAGAAAAAAGTTGAGAACAATCAGCCAGCCCCATCCTCCATCAGGAATTGCTGTGCTATTGGGACCTTCGGTGTTTTTATTACTTTCCACAGAGTCTCCCTCCTTTTCTGAAGTCCAGAAAGTTGCTGCCATTGGCATTCTCAGAAATGTAATAACCAAGGCAGTCTGCACAATTGCTTTAATAGGTATGTGCTGCAGGCTTTCAATGTAATCTTTAACCAAATTTTTTAAAGGATGAAATATATAACCGAGACGGAATTTTAACTGCTATCTTTTTAGTTTTTTCCTCCTTTCTGTTAGCAAAGATTGGCGCTACTGTAGCTTGATGGCTCCTGCCAATGCTTTTAAGTAAACAAAGTAGGCCTTTAAAGTAGGGTTGCCAGGCATTAAAAAGTTTGTTTTATACTATAGCTTCTGGATTTTTAAAATGTGGGTCCTGACAAGTAGACCAGAATCTGATGAAAATAGCCCAAAGCCATTTCTTTTGTGGTGTGTTAATGTTTGCAAGACCTGTTGCTGCTTCCTCTTTATTTGCTCTCTTCTCCTTTTTCTGGGGCATACCATTGAGTTCAGTTTAGTTTGCCAGACCATCTGTAACAGTTTCGATCAGCAAGGGACAGAGAGAAGAACCTGATCACCTCTTCATCTTCTCCAGTGTAATCTTTCCCCTAGCTGCCTAGCAACAATGTAACTGAAGATTTTTTTATTTATTTAAAAAAAAACACCCTAGTATTTTTTAACAAGCAATTAAATGGATTGTTTAACTTCCCAGTAAATTTTGACATTTTGACATTAAAACTATTAAACGGAATTGCTTTAAAACGTTCTGCAAATATTCAAACGTTACTCCTGTAATGAGCTCATATTTCTTACAAGATGAACAGGACTTCCTAATAGATTTCTTTCTTAGAGTCCTGACCCATCAAAAGGTTTCAATGGACCTACACATTATTTGTATTCATTTTTGTTGTTAAACATACAAATCTATCCAAAATATAGTCGGTAAACAATTTTACAGATCACAACAGAAACTATAAATATGGTTGTAACTCCCGCAATTTAAACCAGTTTCCTATTTTCAGTTAGGTCCTGTCTTTTTAATTCAGCTTAAAGAGAGGTATGTTTCAGGCTGAATGCCAATTAGTTAGATTTAAAAAAAATCATGTTTTTGAGATCCAGGCCATGATATTGCACTTTCTTTTATTTCATGGTTTTGATAGACTTTAAAACAATAATACTCTGCAGTTTTACATTTGAATAATCAAAAGCCATTTCCACAAGCTACACATTGTCCTGACAGATGGTTATTATCAGCTGCAGCCCTTTAAAAATAATTGCTCAAAAGCCAAACTAATCCAGTGTTTTTCAAATTTGATAATTTCAACTCCCAGAATTCCCCAGCTAAGGGAATTACATGTCTAAAGAAGTCACTTTTTTGCCGATATAGTTTTGGAAATGGCTTGACACAAAACCTCCAGTACAGATTTGCAAAGAAAGTAATTTAACTTTCTTTTAATACATAAAACTCCTCGGTGATTTGGATTTAGGATGTTCTTCTACAGTGCAGATGTCCTATGGCAGCAGAGCCAAGGTTTGGTTAGGTATTTTATTCTTGGTGTCAATGCACACATCAAGACAGTAGTACTAGGCTGTAAACAATGGTTTACTGCTGTGGTTTGTAATTGTATACATACTTCTGAGTTATTTTCTCCTTTCTGCAGAAACTAATTGCAAGCTAATGAAGCCCTTTAGCTACAATGCCAATGTGTGCATTGCAGCAAGGAACAGGGAGCTTCAGCTAAATGTCCAAAGGACACAATACTCCTCCAGATGTTTTCTTTCTCTATGGAAGAATGTCTTGTGTCCCAATCACATCCTTAACTAGCAATCAATACAGAAATAAGGAAATCTGTAGTCATCCACGTTGTCAACGTGTCAACATTTAAACTATCAATCTCATACTATAAAAAATAAAACATCTTGCCTGTTTTTCCCACAATCTTGGATGGTTTTACTATTATTTACCCTTACAATTTAAAAGTTGACAGGAAGGGAGCAACAAAATATTTCAGAATCTCATAGAAAGCCCCGTAAGCTTTCTCCTGTATACACTGGGGAAGGAAGAAAGTCTGAAGAGAAATTGTCTCCACCCTCAAATGTGTTGTTGGGAAAGGAGTCTGAAGGGACATTGTTTATATTGGATTTTGCAGAGCTCTGCCCATATTCAAGAGAATGCACTCTTCAGCTATAGGTCATCTACCTCGGTAGCATATTTCTTTCAGAACTGCTGACGTGAGTATAGAGAGAGCAAAATCTCTATCCTGCAGCTTATACAGTAAATCTGTTATGTGCATCTTATCCATCCCAGTGATGTGTATTTATCAAGTAGCTGAGTTTGTTGAACTTATGAAGATGTGGTTGGCTAATTTGGCTCAGGATGTTAATGCCAATCTAACCAATGAAGTAGATTTCAGTTAATCAGAGTTCAGTACCCTAAATAGCATGTTGTGAAAATATATGGTATTTACTGTTTCTGGCCCTAATAATTCTTTGCCACCAGCTTCTATCTCCATTTTTTTAAAAAATGTATTTCCTTTGGCTAAGTAGACTCTCACAATGCCAAATAATTACTTTTTTGGCAGAAAACTAAGGGCACCAGATTTCTTTCAATAGTTTGCTGCTAAGTATTTTGATTTTGGAGCATCAGAATTTCAAGAGTAACTGAAAGAATTTATGTAGTTTTTACTTGGATAGAAAGTACTAGTAAAGTTGTATTAAACATGGCCCATATACCATAGGGGTATACCTTATTCTATTTTCTTGTTAATTTGTTTTTATTCAAACAGAACCAGAAACAGTCCCAAACCTTATTTATGTCCCTAGAGTTTAACTCTGATGAACTGTTCTCTATGCAAATTTACACCTTAAAATTTAGGACAAGAAACATCCATGTTTAGTATTAATCCTGTTGGTATGTTTTTAGTAGCCAGCACATAAAAGAATGTGATAGCCTCATCAACCACAATAAGATCATGACATTAGTTAATAGCTGGTTAGAGAAGTTCTCATTTATTTTGTAGATTACTCTTCAGAAAAGTGCAATGCAAAAACCACATTGCTGTTATTATCAAACTCAATACGCACAGTGGCAATACTTTTTGTGTGTGTTGCAAGGTGGCAATACTTGACCATCCTTGACTGGTCTAGAATGTTATGTTGATTTGGTTGTGATCAGTATTTGGACTGAGATAGGAAATCCAAAGCTATAGACTAGGGTGAAAAATTGAAAAGCATCTCAGTGAAGGCAGCCATGGCTCACCTATTGCATTTGACATCAACAAAGCCACATAAATATGGCCATGTTAGTTACCAAGAGCCAAGCTTGAGATGAAATAGACTTTTAGTTTCAATGGGCCAAGGAAGAGGACAAGATTTTCTTAACATATTCTTCTGCTACATAGAGGACTGTAGAAGCACAATATTTAGTCAACATAGAATACATTATTTGTCCTCAATAATTTTTTGAGTTCCTCTAACATTGGGGTTATCTGTTAAGTTGCTCTTTCCAGCAATAAAAAGTGCTTCATTACTCAAAAGATGAAATGATGAAAGTTCTGCACTCCGTACCAAAGTAGGCAAGTGAGGATGTTTACAGATTCAATTAGGTTCTGACTTCATGAGTCTGGATATCCCATGTGTATTAATTGGCAGAAGACAGTTCCACAGTGATTTCTTGAAGAGCAATGAATACTGTGAATGTGTAAGATTAAGATGCCATTTTATGTACTGCCACTATGATGCCATCATGCTTCTGGATCATGACATTGCTGAAAAACAAAACAAAACACCAAACAATAAATAAATAGATATGTTATAGACTTTTTTTAAAAGCAAACACACAATATTAATGGAAATAGTGCAGACTGGGGTTATTTATGATTGTATAATTCCTATAGTTACATAACTGATTGAACCTGGTATTTTATTTATTGAATTTATATAGCAATAGCACTTAGACTTATATACGGCTTTATAGTGCTTTACAGCCCTCTCTAAGCTGTTTACAGAGTCAGCAATCTGGGTCCTCATTTTACCCACCTCGGAAAGATGGAAGGCTGAGTCAACCTTGAGCCTGGTGAGATTCAATCTGCCAAATTGCAGGCAGCTGGCTGAAGCAGAAATAGCTTGCAGAACTGCACTACACTACCGAGGCTAATAATAATAATAATAATAATAATATAGCTACCAATCTCACTTGGACTTTGGGCAGAATATACAAAACAAAAAATTACACAATGAATACGACTTATACATTTAAACAGTTAAAACATTATAATAACAATAAAACATGGAAGAATACAATCAAATTTATACCAGCCATTTAATGGACTCAATGTTTCTCCCTCAAAGGGAAAATGCCCAGGTATAAGAATGTAACATGTTATATATGCAACTTGTATGCAAATTTCTAGAACCAAAAGAGGGGGGGGGGATTTTAACTTCCAATCTTAGTTTTTGGAAATCCTTATTCAAAATGGCAATGATGCAGTGAGGTCTGTTAAGTCATTTAACACAACAAAGGAAAACCACAGAATCAAATGGACATGCCTGCCCACGTTCTTTTTGGGAATTGCACTGCACACGTGTAATGGACTGGGCTCACCAACATTTATGGAATCATATATTGGTCTTTAAAACTGTATTAATTATACTTACCCAGTGTCAGATTCAAGACATACAACAGGAATATCTGTTGGATCAGAAGTTAATTTTGCCGCCTGCTGGGCCAAAATAGATATTACACCTGCATGCTCATCTGAGAGGGTGCCACGACCTAGAAGACAACTCTGCATCATTCAAAAGAAAAATGTCCTGTATTTAGGTCTGAAGAATAAAAATTTCCCCCCCAAATAATTAACTGCAAATTGCAGGAATTGTCTGGATTTCTTATAATATGTCCAGTTACTAGATGCAAAGTCAAAATGCACTGAAGGACTGATACTGCTACATAACATTTTCAGAGATTGGTTTACTTTTTGGCAATAAAATCCTGAAACAGTTGGACTTTTGGATATGAACTAGCAAGTCTTTTCTTATGTCACTTACAGCTTTACAATTATTAACTGGACTTTGGGTCTAGCAGCGAGATGAAAAGGCCTGTCAAATGTGGGCTTGCTAATTTCAATCGTATTGGCAGCTGTAAGACAGAGGTGAGGAAGGTTAGAGCTTCTGACTTGCTTTGGTTTACCAGTAGTTTGTAAGCCTTGGTACTTTCCTCTTATCCTTTAGGAAGAGAAAAAAGATTCCCTCATGTTTTTTGTCTTCTTTTTATGGTATCCCTTAGTATAGGGGTCCGCCCCCAACTCCTGGGCTGAAGCCGGCCTCCGGGCTTTGAGCTCTTAAGATCCAGGCTGCAAAAGTGGTGGGAAAGCATGTGCATGCATCCTCACTTGCATGAACAGTGGGCGAGTGTGTGTGCTTGCCTGTTGCTAATGCAGAACCATCCCCTTCCTCACCCCCCTCCCTCCAGTCCACAAAGCTGAAAAGTTTAATGAACTCTGCCTTAGTAGGTTTTAAAAAGTGGCTTCCTTCTCATTTCTATTGTTTCAGTGTTTCCCCATTCATTCCCTCTTTAAACAAATAAAGTACTGCAGCAGTATTGGCTTTAGAAAGATTGCATAATTATTAAGTCAGTGCAATTTTCACTGGAGGAAAAGGGTTCTTTCCATTTCTCAGTGAATGTGGAAGTCTACTCCTCATTTTCTTTGCTAACAAATGGGCCAATTAAGTCTACATCTTTCTCCATGGCTCTTACAAGTTTACATCATTGTGGTTCATTGACTGGCAGTAGTT